CGAGGATGATAAGTATTCCTATATGTCCCTTTCTTGACCGAGGAAGAGGCCCAATAAAATCGATGTATAAGCGCTAAAAGGCCCGCTCACTAACCTTTGGTCGACCCATGGGTGGCCGAAGGGTTTTGGTTGGCACTTTTGATGTTTGGCATACCTCGCAGTTACGTATTCAATTTCGAGTCTGTACAACCATGTTTGACCAGAACAAGTTCCTTCGAATGCGATCTAAGCACTTCGCGGTTCGTGGTTCGTGCGCGGCCCTTATGACACCTTCGCGTAGCTGGATTGGTACGAACAACTTCCACCCTCCGCTCTCTGGTTCGGGATTCTCGTTTTGGAACTGAGCGCGGTAATAACGATAACCGACCGCTATTCTAAAATCCGGCAAGTTTGATTTCAGAAATCTCTCCTTTAGATCTTCATATTCCTGCGAGCGAAAGGATTTAGATGACACGTCAATTTCTGGTCCTATATCAAAGTCTACAAACGCGATTTCGTCTTCAAAGGATCTTGACAGCGCATCTGCCACTATGTTTTCACTGCCTTTGCGGTGTTCTATTGTGTTCTATTTAGTCCCGAACTTATTCCAGAAGTCCATGCCGCAAATGATGTCTTGTCTAATGGAGGAAACTATTAAAAATTCAAAGTTGGAATGGATATCATTGTAAGAGATCGGGACTACTACGGATCGTATAATGGGTTGGCTCTGCCCGTCTGCTGTTTGATGGCTTCCACTAATTTTCAGAAATTTCTGGTCTGCCTCTACCCTTTTAGCTAGGTTTCCACCTAACACGCTTTTATTTGAAACTTTTATAGGAACTTGACAAAGATGAAAAATGTGTTTTTTGGTCGACTGTAAGTCGGCTGTATATATCGTAAAAACTCGAAATAAATCCGTTGAAAAATCAGAATGGTTACAAAGTTAAAGTTTACATCCTACCGAATAAAACAAGCCGGATATGGCCCAAATCCATGGAAAACTGGATTTATGGTGTCAAGTTTCTACGCTGCCATTACTTATCCAATCATATTGATCTATATGACAAAGTTAAGCTCTGATCTATTGACTTTAAAATAAAACTAAAACTGGCTCAACCAAGTGGATATCTGCCGAGATATAAGAAGAAATTCGAAAAAAGTCCGAAATTTAACATTTCGAACTTTAAAAAATCTTTAAAAAAAAACTGTGCCATCGAAAAAAAAATTAATGCTATTTTCGTGATCTAGGGGTCCAACACTAACAGAATTTGCCATCAATTGCTGGGGAGCACACCGAGAATATTATTTTGTAAACTAGTGTAATCAGTCAGGTTTTCGAAAACAGAGAAGCTGCCCGACTGCTATTATTAAGATTACGAAGGATATACGAAGGGAAACTGATAAGAGCAAAATAACTTTAGTAAGGCATTTGATACAGTGAACCATGTCAGAGCAGCCACAGGAAAAACATATGGATTGTTGCGACAATTACATGCGACACAAACTTTTTTGTCTAGTTCTATCCGGTTATTACTCGCTAAAACTTTAGTTATACCAACAGAGACTGTTTTGTATGGAGTTGAAGTTTTTGGTACCTGTGATGTAGGAAGTCGACATAAAATAAAAGTGACATTTAATAATATAGCCAGATAGGGGAGAGGTCTGTAGGTTAAGACGGTCTGTAAGTTGAGACACTCAATTTTCTCAAAGCTTATCCACTAAAAAAATCGTTTTTATTTTTTTTTTTTTAGTCCTTTTTAGTGACAAAACTTTTGGGGAAAACATTATAAGCCAGGCTCTAGCCAGATTAAAGCTGTGAGAGTCGTGTACCATTTGTCACCAAAAAAGTTTTTGTCTACTTTTTTTAAAATTCCATTTAAAATGAATAACGTCCTTAAATTAACTTGGTAAGAGATTTAAAACATTAGTATATTAACTGTTAACTAATTAAAAAAAGAATCAGCTTAGTGTGACAGTCAGAACAAAAGTTATTAAATTTTTCCCGAAACATCCCATTTTGTGTAAGTTGAGACACTTTGAGCGTGTAAGTTGAGACACCCGTTTTTCATACAAAAAGGACTTAGGCCAACAGAGGTCGCTTTCTGCCTAGTATATTTCTTTGATATTAGGGGAAAAGTGAATGTTCAAAGAGTCTTTTGATTTTATTTGTTATTTGGGCTAAGTTCTTAAAAAATGGATGGGAACTAATTTAGGACGAACTAAAATTGGTTAAATCAACATAAATAAATAGTTCCTTATAGTTTGGAGTACTTTTTGTGTGAGTATTATTGACTTTTAAAAGTGTCTCAACTTACAGACCTCTTTTTCAAAATGTCGTTTTTTGGGACTTTTCAAAAAAAAATATTTCAGTTTTCCCTAAGGAAACAAAATATTTTTTTTTGTTTTTTATTAAGCTAATAGGCTATCCTTTCGATCAGTACCAAATGCGTAAAGTTTCATAAGTGAATGTCGAAATGGCAGATTAAAAACAAAAGGTGTACCAACCTACAGACCTCTCCTTTACATATACCAATTAAGTAGGAATGACCATGTTACTGAAAGAGGAAAAAAAATCTTCGACTTGAATTTTGACAGCTGGATTGACCTAAAAATATTAGTTCTTCTTCATAAGATTATTAATTCCAGGCAACCTGATTACTTGTATGACATGATTCGATTTACGTCCTCACAAAGAACGAACAATATAATAAGCATTAGAACATAACTTGCAAGCTCGGAGAAACAATTTCTTGTATATGCCATACAAATTTGGAACTCTTTGCCTCATTTCTTAAAAACCATTACTGGCACATTAAAATGTAGTGTTAAACTTAAACAAAACTTTAACACACTCACATAAAATAAAAGTAGTAAAATAAAATAAAATAGAAAAAGGCATAATAAAATAATAACTTCTAACTTCTAACTTGTTTAATGTAATTAATGTAAGATTTTATGTTCAAAGTGACTAGCGCAGTAAGAAGTAAGTTTCACGCTTGTTGTGCTAGGATAGTAAAACAATAAAATTAAAATTAAATTAAATATGTATAATTCGAAATAAGTATATATGTATGGATGTATGTACACCCAGAAAAATGATGGACAACATTTTAGGTCATGCATAGCCTAAAACATTTTAAATGGACTAAAAGTTCCTTTTTAGGTCATGCACAGCCTAAAAATTTAAATTTTTGGTATATTTGCCCTACTATTTAGGTCCCGTATAGCCTAATATTTTAGGTCATCGAGGGCCTTAAAATGAATGCATTTTACCTAAATAAATTTGCACGGAACTCTGATACCGTTCTAGCGACGCTATAATTCCCAACCAGTTATAGCGCGGCTTGCATGGTAACCCACTTCGATCGTTGAATAAAACAGCGATTTCACTGCTGAACAGTGAAGCCTCCTCGCTCCTTTTTGTGTGTTAGCATAATGACGACTTCTTGAATACTAAGCCGACATTGACCTCGAGTTAGCTATAAATTTCTCTGTATTTACTTTATAATATGAAACATTTTTCAGTACAAATTTTTAGGCCAAATAAAGCCTAAAATTTTTTTTTAAGGCAGCCAATTACCTAAAATCTAGGCCAAAAATTACCCCATTTTAGGCCATTAATGGCCTAACATTTTAGGTCATACAATCCTAAATTTTAGGCCATTCAAGGACTTAGCTCCAGTTTTAGGCCAATTTTACCTAAATTCTAGGCCATTTTTAGACATTTTAGGTCATTTTTTTTTCTGGGTGTATATATATCTGAATTATAATCGTTAGTGCATGCAAGTTTTATTCATTTTTTGGTTAGAATCCTCGCTATCTATCGAATTTTTCACACAAATGGAAAAAGTTGAAAGATGGGCCACGCCACAGATTAATCCTTAACTTTTAGCACTCTATGAGACAATTTACATCCGTCAGTAATTTCCCTCTTAGAATCCAAATGATTTATTTCCTGTGCGTAGGGAATCAAAAGCGGTGAATTTGGCGATGAGCGGCACAACAACAACGGTCCAGCTAACGGCGATTGAGAACTGCCGCGGCAACAAATTGCTTTGGGGCCAGCAACAACGAATTATGTAACCGGCTGCAACAACTTCACTGAGGTGGGTTACAGCGATTTAAAAACTGCAGGGGCCAAAAATATCCAGCGGCAGCAACGACGAATTTAAGTAGGCAGCAACAGGCGATAAGCAGCGGCACTGGTCCAGCTAACGGCGATTTAAAGCTGCAGCGGCCAACATTTTTCAGGGGCAGGAACGCCAAATTTTAGTAGGCAGGAACAACTTCACCGGCAGCGGCAACAATTGCAACAACCCCTTCAATGGTTTAAAAAAGGCCGGCGCGACTTATTTGATTTTTAATTTGTTTGTTTTACCAAAAAAATTATAACTCGAGTTTCACTGCAGATCACGTCGGGGTCACCATGAAAATGTAGTACTATTTTCTATTAACAAACGCGAAAACTGGTGGTTAGGGAATTTAATGTTATTTAAACGACGAAGAAAAGGAGTGCTCTATTTGATTCTCATATAATAAATAACTTTTTAATTCCATTATAAAACGCTTAAGCCCATCTTAACGAAGGGGCGAGAAGCGGGGCGAATTCGCGAAAGCGATGGAATGAGCTTTAATGCGCTCCCGCTCCCGCAAAGTGCGTGAACAATTTTGTTTATATCATTAGCTGTTAGTATGACTGTTTTATGGTATTTTTTGATAATTTTTGACTAATTTTTGACAATTAGTTAACTTTTGTGGGGTTGCCACAAAATCTCAAATTAGTGCCCCTTTTATTTGGAGTTTTAAAGGACGGACGAGAAAATCAAAACCTATTAGCCGTGTGAAAAAATGTATCCTTCCTTTAGATAAATTGTACTTTGCAGGACGGATGAGAAAACGGCCCTTAATGTGGTATTTCAGAGCAATTGTCATGTCTATGACAATTCTGTGTAAAATAAACCACTTCGATATATGTGCTCTGAAAATAAACTCAACTACTTTCAAATTCTGTTTTTAGAAATATTTATTTTGGCTTATACGTAAATTCACAGTTTATTATTAAAAAAAAGTAATTATAAAACAATGAAATTTAATAATATGAGAAGGAATAACCAATTTAAAGTATCCGATATCAGCATTTGGGATTTTTGCACTGCTGCAGGATGATCACCTTGTTATACAAATATAGTTACGATTAATAAAGAAACTAAACTAAAAGAAATGTAGTTACCCTTTAAAATATGAACATTAACGGACTTGGGGTTTGCGTTTGATGGTAGGCAAGAGTACTGCCCTGAGTCAGCAATTTTCGCTCGTTGAATCAATAGGTAAGATGTAGTTATGTCTCCTTTTTCAGTTATTACTGACACTCCTCCTCGTGGCGAATCATAGTTTATTTCCTGCAAAACGTACACATCTTATTAAAGTTTTACACTTTAGCGTTGAAGTATAGTTAAAAAGTCATTTTATTATTCCTCAATTATTACATATCTCTTACCCAGCTAACCAAATTAACAAAATAACTAATGGGTTGCAGTTTGTGGGCGTTAAATTGGGCTCGGCTGGAGAGAGCATTAATTGGCACTGTAGAATCTGAATGTAATTTGATGAGTGATGGGCGTTTGTGGTTTGACTACAGTGTGCCACTTAAGTCATGATACACCAGTCAATTTTAACTTACTTTGCAAATTGCTCTTTTATTTAAAGACATTAAAAAAAACTGAGTATGCCATGATGTTCGTATCATTTTTGTTAACAATACATATTAAAAAAAAAAGACTTTCCATTTAATTAAAGTAATAAGTAATAAGACTTTCCATTTAATTAAAGTAATAAGTCATGATGGGCCTAAATCGCGTAAATATAATCCTCAATGGATCTTAAGAACCTTGTAATTTCAGTTGCCTTAAAGTTTAAGGCTTAAACTACCGAGCCCAACAATGCCTTGCCCATTCCCATTTTTAAAATATTTTCGGATACTTGATCTACTAATCTTGATCTTGATTGCTTGAGACAGGGAGTAGGCGTGGCAGAGGCGTACTTACAAATCGGCAAAGTCAGAATTTAAAAACAAATCCTTTTTTTCCCGACAAAAAAAACAACTTTTTATACCCTTGCAGAGGCTATTATGATTTCAGTCAGAAGTTTGCAACGCAGTGAAGGAGACGTTTCCGACCCCATAAAGTATATATATTCTTGATCAGCATCACTAGACGAGTCGATCTAGCCATGTCCGTCTGTCCGTCTGTCCGTCCGTTTGTCCGTCCGTTTCTACGCAAACTAGTCTCTCAGTTTTCAAGCTATTGGGATAAAACTTTCCCAAAAGTCTTCTTTCTATTGCAGGTAGTATATAAGTCGGAACGAGTCGGATCGGACAACTATATCATATAGCTCTCATAGGAACAATCGGGAAAAAAATGTAAAAAAATATATATCTTGGGTGTTTTTGAACCTATAACATCCTACTTTTGGAAATGTCATTTTTTATCTAATTCTGAATTTCGAATAAAATTTTTTCAAAATCGGACGATTATATCATATAGCTGCCATAGGAACGATCGGAAAATTAATGGGAATATAATTGGAAATAAATTATTGCTTCGTTGGTTTTTATTGTATTCTCTTCTACTCTAGGATATAACTCTTTTTAAATATTTTCGAATTTCGATTTTAATTTTATCAAAATCGAACTACTATATCATATAGCTGCCATTGAAACAAACGAAAAATAATGAGAAATAATAGGAAAATTAACATTGTTGCGATTTGTAAATTAATAGGAATTATCTGCAAGGGTATATAAGCTTCGGCTGGCCGAAGCTAGCTTCCTTTCTTGTTTTTAAAAGCTTTTGTGTTTTTTTGTGTTTTAATTTTTAAAAAATTATTAAAAAAAAAAAAATTGGGGTTTAAATAAAAAAAAAGTTTTTTAAGTTGTTGTTTTGTTTTTTTGTAAATAATGGTCAAAATTTGGTAAACTTTGTAAATTCATTAGACTTAAGACTTAGACTAGATTTTAACTCTTTTCTTGACTTAACATGCCAATGAGGAAATCAGAGGATCAGAAGATGCAGCCAACATAGTGAACAGATCCTTATTTTCCCTAGTTCTTGATGTCTTAAATGTATTCAGCAACCTGTATTTTGTATAAAATTAGTTTAGCGGTTCCTGCGCTTTTTCGGAAAGCTCTCCAATTGGCAAACACTGATATTCGATTATTTCTTTTCCATGCGCCAATATCTTATGGACTATCGGGGTCAATTTCTTTTGTAGATACAATTCCCCGCCATTTGAAAATCAATATTAACATAAAAAACGTTTGCCATGAATAGAGATGATCATTTCAGAAGGTTGCGCCACATGCAATTTCTGAGACCATGACTTTTTTACCTTTTTAACGACGCATGCGGACGCAGCTACAGCTTTCCTAATATCAAGAAGAAAGTCCAAATAACGTTTTAGGAAAGTATAAAAAAATAGTATAAAATGGTTTTTTTTTCTTTCCATCAAAGTTGAAAAATATTGAAAAAATGGACGTTTGGCAAATAACCCATAACTAAGAGATGCGGCTGGCAAACTGCAATAAACTAGGACAAAGTCGAAAAATTGATTTATAGCACGTTTTTTGGGCCAAGGCGCCACTGTGCGCGGAGGGTGTTGAATGAGGGGTCATATAATTTCTCATTCATCTAAATTATTATAACGGTCGACCCCTAAAACACGGTCAGTAGCAAATTCCACCCAGAATGGATTGACAGAAAAATCTAAAAAAATCACTTTAATTAGTAAAATATTTATTTTTATTTTATTTAATTATAATTAGGTACAAATTGGAACAAAAAACGACCTCTTAGTGCCCCAAAAGTCGTTTTGTTTTTTTTTAATTCTATCTTTTGCGATTTCTCTGTTATAAATGTTGTTAAAATGGTTTCAAAATGTGATGTTCATAATCTTATGGCATACCTGCAAGTAACTGAATTTAAACTTTTTGGAGATTTAGCGTCGTTAACCAAGTCCCCAATATTTTCAAATTTGGCTAACTAATGTGACGTCACGGCCTCCTCATATGTATGTATGTATGTTTTGCTGGCCCACTTTGTATGTCTGTATGCTGCCTGCTTTCGCACTTTATGTGTGGCCGTGCAAGGGGGAAATGAAAATACCACAGTCAAAACATTTAAAATGAAAGTACCACAGTCATAACACGTTTAAAATGCGCGGTTAAAAAATCGATTATATCGGAAATCTTTTCTTTTGTGCCTTTTTCTTAAGTAAACGTTAAATTTTAAAATATCGGTAGACCCCACAGAAGTCCCATTAAGCTGAATTTTACAGTAGAAATTTTCCTTAAAATTGCTTCTGTTTTTTAAAATGCAAAAGCCCGATCAGCAAACTATTTATTAGTTTTCAAATGTTGAGTTATCGACAAACTTTGGATCTGTAAAAAAAAAAAAAAAAACAATGATTTGCTCTGCTATGTACACACACACGCACAAAATAAATATACCCAGCGGGAAAGTGAGAAGTTGATTTTAGTGTTCTTGAAATCCTGTTCCTTTTTGCAGGCGGTGGTGTGGGGATAGATAATTTCTGAGCGTTAAATGGTGGTGGGTTTCTGAGTAGCATCACCATCAGGCCACTTATGCGCTATGTGATTTCTATGGCACTACGATTATAATTTTTTTAACAAAAAAAAATCACCAACTTATAATATTAAAAAATCGTATGATTAACACCAAAACCAAAAAACCGATCAGCAAACTACTCATTAGTTTTCAAACGTAGATTTGTAAAAAAAACATTATTTCTTTGTGTTTTTGTGTTTTCTTTTTGTGTTTTAAAATGCAATTAACATTGAAAGTATTAAAAAAAAACCGAAATATTCAAATCAATTGATTCTCTTACCCTTCCTTACACGTGCATCATATTGTTTAAACAAATGGAAATGCTTAAACAATTTGATTCACGTCATCCCCTTCCACTTGCCTTCCTTATTATTAATATTATTCTAATCAAGGTGAAAAATTAATAAAAACAAAAATACTGAAACAAAATGTCAATGGTAGAATGCAGTAATATCGAATTGCGACGTCTTTTCTTAAATTAGTCAAATACATAAAGCAAAACATTGCTTTACATAAATTTTGGTTTCCCTTATAAGAGTTGACTACTGTGGACACCTTCTAAAAACCCCCACGTTAGGTAAATCCCCAAGAGTATTTGGTTTTTATTTACCTTTTCGTTACCTAAACAAAAATATTTCCTTCTTAAATCTTTACCAAAATTATCATATTGGTTGTTGGAGAGCTATCTTTTAGAGAAAGAGGAATGCTTAAGCAATGTTTTGGTGTATTTTTTTTTTAGAAAACAAGTTTGTTTTTAATACTTACACTCTTATTGATTTAAAATTTAATTACATACTCAATCCAGTATGACATTCTATATTTAAAGGGTCGATGAGCTGTGATTGTCTTATTTAAAAATCTTTTTTTTTCTTTGGGTAACCTTAAATCTGAACTGATCTACTTGAAACCCATTTGACTTTGGTCGTTTGGGTTTGGGTATTTGGGTAAATGGGTAAAATTTTACCCAAACCCAAACGACCCGAAAATTTTGGGTTCGGGTTGGGTAGGTACATTTTTAAAAGAAAGCCTGACCTACTTGACCTGAAATTTCGTTTGGGTACCCAAATAACCCATTTTGTATACCCATGCAGGGTTAGATACAATTAAAATTTAAACAATATGTTTTGGACAAAGTACTAATGTTGTAAAGAAAATTAGTGTAAGGAAATGTGTCGAAAAATGAATTTGTTTGTTTCTGTTCTGTGCAGCTGATAACTTACGCAAGAAATAAGAATCTTAGGAATGTTTTTGCGGAAATAAAGAAAAAAGTTAAGATAAAAAAAAAATCTCAAGCCGATGCTGAAAAGTTTCTAAACACTACCGAGCTCACCGGTATATTCAAAGTACAGTGTAAGCTCCACGAGGCTCTCAATTTTGTGAAAGGGACAGTTTATGCCCCGTACCTCTGTGACATTCCCTAGAAAGAAATCGTCGATTAACTTAAAGCACAAAAAGTTACGGAAGTTTACAAATTTATGAAATCCTACGATGGTGTGTCTAAACCCAGCGGAGTCATTCTAATAACATTCGAACTCTATAACCTCCCATCTAAAATCGAAATTTCCTGGCACTCGGTAAAACTTCGCGAGTACATACCTAACCCATTGAGATGCAAGTCTTGCCAACTCCTCGGTCACACAACCAAAAAATGCGGAAACACCGAACTTTGCTCCGAGTATGCCCAACCACCTCATTCACCAAACAAATGCACAAAAATCTGCTGTGCCAATTGCTCTGGCGAGCATCCGGCCTATTCCCGACAATGCCCCAAGTACCAA